CCGCGGAGCGGAGCGGGCTTTAATCAACTCCGCAAATTATGGCCTTAATCAACTGGATTGCCGCTCCGCTCCGGCGCGGAGCGGAGGGAATCCAAACGCGGCTTAAGCCACATGGTTATTAACTTGTAATGCTATTTGTTAGGAGTTAGGATGAGCTGCTATTTCATTGCAAAACTGTTTAATTCCTACTGTATTTGTGGTGTGATGGTCCAATAATGCAGTGTGTAGTATGTGGTAAGGTCACCACAGATGCAATGTGAACTGTGAAGTGAGGAGAGGTGAGCACACCACATGCCGTGCTCAACCAAATACCGTGTTTTGCAGGTTCACAGCCTTAAACTCGGTCAGCATGACAACCAAACGCCAGGCATGAAAGTGCTCAGTGGTGCGATGCAGGGTACCAAATGATGTGCAGAACATGTTTTTACCCTGCATTAGCTCAGCATGTCCCTACTCGGCCACAGATGCAAACTATAAAAAATCGATGTGAGCAACCACCTTAGTCTTGCCACATACTACTAGATTTCTAGTCCGGTGAACATGTGATGCATCTGATATATTCAGGGTTCAGGACCAACGATGTGTACAGTGCGTGTTGGGACAGAAGCAATGTTTCTCGTCAGGCGCTGGTTTCCAATGGATGAAACAAAAACTGTCTGTGAAGCTATCCCCACCAAGATGCCATCACACTTTTCGGCTCTTGTTCTTTTTTACATTTACTATGAAAACAAGAACTGGCTGTAACAACGACCTAGTATCTTCACCAAGATGCCTTCACCATGCTACTGGCGCAAGACTCCGCTGAAGGTACGTCCAAGAAACACGCTGAGAAAATGCCAGTAATCAGTGCCTCTGAATCTGTGCAGTATTGATGTTACTGACATATAGACATCAGGAAACTAGTACAAAATGGAGATTAAGGGAAACCAGAGCAGCAGTTACCATGCAGAAGACTTGATCACATCAGTACAACAGGTAAGAGAGAAGGCGCTTTTGTTATCCTGCAATCAGTCCCAGCTGGGTTTGCTCCTCCTCGATTCTTTCTTCTGTGAGAGTACCTTCTTGTTTTGCATTCTGTTCCTCTCAGCGGCTGCAGCACTACAATAATACATAGATCAACTGAGTCAACGAGTGTAGTTTGACAATTTTATCTTCTCATGTGTTATTCAGAGATGAAACGGCATATATTTCAGGCCAGTTTTGGTGGCCCATTTATCGCCACAAGTTAGAGGCAAAAAAATTGGCTAAGCAATATGCCTATGGCAAGCAGGTTAGGTAGGCATTACATGCCATAGTTGTGGAAGCAAACCAAATAGCTGACATAGTAGGGCAAACAAAGAACCAAACATGCCTGACTCCACGAAACATGGACCTTGGGCCTAAGAAAGTGTGACAAGTCATAGTTGTAACAAGTAACCAATATGGAGAACGAGAATAAGGTTAGGGTCATGTTTGGTTTGAATCCTCACATTCCAAGAAAAAAGCATGCCACAGATTTGTGCTGAGCAAATCATCTACCACAAGTGTTGGTGCGTGGCAGGTTTTCGCACAGATCAGAAATGACACGAGGCTAAGGAACTGTACCCATGGCATGAACATTGGTTTAGACAGATGGTGTCTACAATACCACTCCAGACAACACATACAGCAGTTTGTTCTGTAACTTGTCTATTTTTTAGACAATGTCCATACAATGGCAAAATCACCGTCTGTAAGTTGTCTGAAAAAATCCTACAGACCGTCTGTAGAGACAAACTATTTCTCTCTACTTTCTCTTTTCTCACATCACTAAAATTCCAACGTGGCACCCCTTACAGATGGCTGACTAGATACTGTTGCACATGCCCTAATAGGCAGGACATGATACAAGGCTAGGAACGGATGGCACCCTACAAGTATGGCCAGGGGCGGAGCATCGTGGAGACCAAACTGGGCCCTGGCAGGGTTTCCCATATATGGCCAATTTAGTGCTATGGCCGTGATCTACTGCTTGGTTTTGTGGCTCGTGTGTTGCTTTGGCCCATTAGTTCAGCAACTAGCCCGGTCTTTGGTGTGGTTGACGCTCCACCACCGAGTGTGGCAACAAGCGAAACAACAGCCTAAAGAAAGTCAAACTCGCCTAAGTGAGCTGTGGCAAGTTGTGGCTTCAAATCAAGTATACTCAGCAAATAGCAAGTGAACCAAGCATCCCCTTAGAGTATACATGTACAGAAGGTTTCAACGATATCTACACTTTTTTTTTGCGGGTAACGATATCTACACTACATGACACCTTTTACAATTTCCTTAAATGACTTGCACTTATATAAACAAAAGAGCTAGCTCAGTTAAGATTAGCTCATCAGTTGCTACTTGTGTGGAGTATTGCTGCCTAAATAAATTTGAAGGAAGCAAATGGCCAGAAAGCAGCTTACATTTTTTCAATTTTCTTCTTTTGCTCTTCTGAAGGCGGTGGGGGAACATATGATGCAGCATCAATGATCGCCTGTTATCAGATATTTAATGAGTACGCTATATGGAAAAGGGGCAACAGCAATATGGACCCTATGCTATGCGAATTGCTTCTAGACAAAGATTTGAAATGGATGAGGTGTACCTGTATTTTCTGCAAAGCATCTTCAATATTGCCCCTAAGGTGATAAACATGTCAATTGCTGTCCAAATAAGACAACAAAAAGAAATAGCTAAGTGATATTTACTTCTGTGTCCTAGTTTTCGTAGAAGACATCACAAGTTCACCATCCTTATTTATCCTGTTCTTTTCCTGGGCGTACAGAAATTTAAATTGTAACGACCTCTCTAAATATGAAATATAACACAAAAATGCATACAAGAGAAAGCAGATAATATGATGCATCCATTAAAGGTAAACAACATAATACAGAAGACATGATAGCAACATAAACAGATAAGATGTGTAAATTAAGGTTTTCAAACCGTTTGCAATATCCGTTCCTTAATCCTCTCTCCGAGCCAATGAGCTTTCTCAACATTGAACCGCATGTCAACCTTTGTATTAACTGCAAAATAGTGGTACACATTTTAGCGTGAAGTGGTAACATCAACATCCTTAAGTAATCACTATCTGGACATCCTTAATATAAAGAAATGGAGAATCTGGTTTGAGGGACTGGATGGTTAATGGACGGAACCATCCTAGCTCTGAATCCGACCCAGTTGTTTGGTTTGACAAATGGAATACATTTGGCAAATTTAATGGACCATCCAATGATGGACTCACCCCATCCTAGGACAAGGTGATCCCTAAGATAAAACACCCCATCAATGGGCCAACAGCAATTATTTGAACATGACAAGTGATGAAACAAAACGTGCTACTGCTGAATTGGAATTGTTCAACAAAACAGACCAGTCATTAGTTTCACAATGCTGAACCAACAACAATTCAGATATACTCCCTCTGTCACAAAATAAGTGACTCAACTTATTTTGTGACGGAGGGAGTACTAGGCAATGCAGTGATAAATAAGGAGAATGTACAGACAGCAAACCTTTGTTAACATTCTGACCACCCGCGCCCCCACTTCTTGCAAAGCTAACAGTAACATGATCTGCACACATAAAGTGGGTTACTTCAGACCAGCTGGCAACCCACGTAACGGTTGGATACATAGTCATCAGGAATCAAACGTTTAGAAATGTCACTGGGATACAGAATGCAGAACTAATACTGTTGACACTGGGGGAGCTATGTGAGGGCTAAACTGTGCCATGGCCCGCTCAATCCAAAACATATGTATAATAGCCTAGTTGGTGAGCAAAAACAATGCCTATGTACGAGTGAAAGCTTAGATTGGCCTGCCCTGGTTTTTTGTTGTAGCTCCGCTACTGACTGTTGACATAAATACTTGTAAGGTATGCTATATATATGATCGCAGTTTAGCGAATTCTTCAAACTATTTTCCTTCTTCCAGTTCATAATCAAATACCTGCAACAAGCCGTGACAAGAATATGCATTTTACTTGCAACTTGCAACAATCAGACCAGATGTTCCATTACCTCTTACATGAACTTACAGGTTAGATAAAGCAATTTACTAACCAAAAGCTCATTATTACCTCATATCTGTACCTAATATTTACTTTCTTTTTCTTCGCTTCAAGCTGTAAGGCAAGCAAGCTAGCTACTTCTCAAGCTTAATTAACTTGGTTTCCACAGTACCAGTTTCTGCTTAATAAAAGCAGATTGGCAACAGAGCAAGCAAACAAATCAACTTCATAGCTAGCATTCACCACACCGCCAGCTTACAAATTCTTTTGTGCTACGAAAATGCCAGTAGAACGATGTCCTTAGCATGAAATGTATGCATAAGTAGCAGATACACATACACTTGAACGAGCAATCAGGAGGGGCAACTCCGTAGAGGCAGACGGCTAGGTAGAATGGACTTAGGACCCAAATCAGATGCACATTTCTCACTCTATAAATAGCATCGTTACTGCAAAGGCATCACAATCCTCCTTAGCAAATATGGCACCTCGTGATCCCCATCTTCTATGTTCCTAGTCATAAGCTACAACTTTAAAAGTCTAAATCTCAATACAGGCTATTTCCTAATATTTGAAAAGCACTACTTACTACTCCATTTCTAAAGCATGAGCAATCAATTCGGATTTATGTACCAATGATAGTAGTACTACAACAATGGGGCAAATTAGGGCGGTTGGGATGAGTTACCCATGGTGATCTTGGGGGCGGGATCAGAGCCGGCTGAGGCCGCGCGCTCCTCGGCGTCGCGCATCACCTGCTGTGCCAGTGCTAGTCGCGCTGACACCTTCTTACCCCTGCCGTCGCCGGCCTCGGCCGCCGAGCATCGGAGATGGACCAACCCGACCCTGGCAACGCTCAGGCCCAGGCCCAGGCCCGGGCTCGGGGAGGGGGACAGGGGCCCTCGGAAGAGAAGAGAAGGGACGTGACAGAAGCCGAGCCGTAGGAGGCGGGCGCTCCGCATGGCGGTCGCCATTAGCCTTTCTGTGGAGGGAGACGAGTGTCGAGCGACGAGACGGACCGGAATGGCACGGGGGCATACGGCAGCAAGGCGAGGAAGAAGAGGTAGAAATTTATTTGGGCTTAAAGGGCTTCGGTGGTCATCTGCGTCCGCTCATGGGCCGGCATCAGAGGTAGCCCGGACCTCGTAGTTGATTTCTCGAAACAGAAGCATTTGCAGGCTTTCTCAAATGACCACGGCCACATGCTAATCATTTTAAAGCCGGAGCACGGGCGGTGAATATGCGCATACAAACTGGGCCGACCCATTTATTTTTATATTCGATCGCTGGCATGCGACGCTCGCGAGCGAACGATCGCTTCGCTGGTTCGAATCCTTTTTTCTCTTCTGATTTATTGTTTCTTCACCGGTTTTCTGAGTTTCTTTTGTTTTTTCACCGGTTTTCTGAGTTTTTTTTGTTTTTTCACCGGTTTTATTTGTTTTATTCCTGGTTTTCAGGGATTATCTATTTTATTTCTTTCTTCATTTGTTATCTTCGTTACTTTCACAATATTCATGGTTTTTTGTTTTCTTTGTTTCTTTGTTTCTTTCTTGTTATTTTTTGTTTCTTTATTGGTTTCAGACTTCCCATTCTTTTTCCACTTGTTTCCTTGGTTTTATTTTTCATTTTTCATTTTTATTTTGTTTCCTTTTCGGTTTTAATTGTTTTTCCTCTTTTTTCTTTTGGCTTTCATTCTACATTTTTCGTATATATCAAAAACATTTTTCTAAAACACACTCAACATTTTTTAAATAGAAGTTCAACATTTTTTGAGTACATGGTCAAAACAATCTATACACATTTTAAATATTGTTCAAACGCTCGGTTAACATTTTTAACTACAAGGTCATCACATTTTCTATAAACATTTTAAACATTTTCAAATGCTTTATTATCATTTTTCAACTACAATAATATTTTTTAATACATGATCAACATATTTATATACATATTTAACATTTTTAAAACGCATGATTAATTTTTTTATATGAAATATTATTATTTTTAATACATGGTCAACATTTTTTCTATATACATTCACATTTTTTAAATGCTTGATTAAAATTTTAAAATACAAGTTTAACATTTTCTAAATACAATGCAAGATTTGTTTTTTAGTACATGGTCAACATTTTTCTATACACATTTAACTTTTTAAAATGCTTAATTAACATGTTTTAAATACATGTTAAAAAATTTATGAATACATGATCCACATTTTTTCTACACGCATTTAACATATTTCAAATGCTTGATTAACATTTCTCAAATGCTTGTTGAACATTTTTTTCAAATGATTGATTAACATTTTTTCTATACACATTTAACATTTTTCAAATCCTTGATTAACAATTTTCAAACACTTTCCAAATATTTTTTTCAAACGCTTGATTAACACTTTTAAAATACTCAATCAATTTCTTTTTCACACAAAATGTATATTTTTATATACATTTTTCGTATACACGAGAAACATGTAGCGACCCGACCTCAAACGGTCAAGTCTCTGTGCTTCAGTGTCATCCCTGGATCAGTAATGCTGACACACACAGTATTCGAGGATTTATAGCAGAGTAACAATCACACACGTATTATATTGAATGTCTCCAAAGAGAACTTATTACAAAAATATGGCTTTAAGGCCATCTAATGCGCTAACAGCGGAAGGCTTGGAAGATAAAATGAGTCCATCAACTCCAACGGCATAGCTGAGCTGCACGGCAACGATCTAACGAACCTTACTCCTCGTCTGAGTCTGCAACATAATACGTTGCAGCCCGAAAACGGGTCAGCACATGGAATATGCTGGCAACACAACACAGTAGAGCATGAACAAAATAATGCTATTACTATATGCATATTTGGCTGGTGGAAAGCTCTATGGTTATAGTTTTGCAAAAAGCCAATTTTTCCCTACAACAAAGGAATAGATTTTAATTTAACTATCATGGTAGTTAAACAATATTGAGAAGGTACCCCCAACTCAATCCCAAATTAAAGTAGTTAACAACCCAATAATATTAGTTAAGAGTGATGAGATACATGTGATAACCCAAGCACTAGATACTCAAGATTATCCATAACCGGGGACACGGCTAACCATGATTAGATTGTACACTCTGCAGAGGTTTGCGCATTTTTCCCCACAAGACTCGATCGCCTCCGTTGGATTTCTCGCACTACAAGGTGTTTGAGAAACGGATGACCGAGACACAGTCTTTCAGAAACATTAACTCTTTACTCCGGGTAGACCATACCAAACCTACAAAACCCACTACCTGTTGATCCACCTCTTCGAGAGCTTCACGTAACTTACTCAACTATGCTAGAGCCCATAATAGCTTGTGGCTGCACACGGAAGTTTCTAGCATGAATCATCTCAGTTCCCTTTGAGCTTGGGTGGCGGTCCATAGAAAGATCACACGGGTACCCCGGGATTTCCAAAAAAATACAGACAACACTAGGTTCCCCAGGTGCCTCAATCCACCTAGATGTTTATTTAAGTTGCCACCTTAAGTTGAACCATTAATTAACAATCTCACATCTGTCATGGATTTCACTCAAACCAAACCACGTCTACGAGCATAGCATAGCATAGTAATATAAGCAACGCGTAGAAGTAACTCCCAAGGTTTGATAGTAACAGGGCAATAGGTTCTACCTCAATAACTACTTCCCAACCCACAAGTTAATGACATCCTAATCATGCAATGTTTGAGGATTTGAACTAATGCATAAAAACTAGGTATGGAAAGAGTATGATCAATGTGTTTCTTGCCTTGCTGACGATCCGCGAATCCTAGGGACTCGTAGTAACACGCTTCACACTCCGGGTGTTCTATCGCAAACAAACAATAACATACATAAGCAGCAAGCAAAGATGCACAAGCAAAACTCAAATAAGAGAGGTTGACTAGAAAGTTCAACTTAAGAACTCCGGTTAGCAAAAAGAATCAAATCAAACGGAGCAACGAAACTCAAACGACGAAAGAAACAAGATCCGTTTACTAATCTGGACCTAGGTCAAATTTTATAGTAGCAAAAACCTGTGCAAGTTGGTTAAACATAAAGAGGGTCTCGAGACGAAAATTCAGGCGCTTGAATCGCCTGATTCCGACTAACGAGCGAAAAGATAAACAGAAACTAAGATCGGATCAGAAATCGCGATCGAGAATAAACGCGGATTAATCTGATAAAAGAAACTGACGAACAGACTAACGAATGAGCGTTCGTTAACTGTAACTAACGGGTGAAAATCGTTCGTTAAAACGAACGTACGGACGAACGTCCGCTAATTAGAAGAACCGAGAAAAACCAGCGAACCGATAAAAAAACAACGAACTAGGGTTTCTAAAAAAACCGAACGGTTCCTTCAAAAAAACCGACGGCTCGGATCCGGCGCGGTACCTCTGGCGAGGGGCTCCAGTGAGGCGGGGTTGGGCGGCGGGGCTCGGCGGCGGGCTTTAAAGGGGGTGGCTTGCTTGGGCGAGGGGGCGCCCGGGGAGGAGTCCGAGCTGGACTCTCCTCGGCGTCCGTGTCGGGCACGGCGGCGCGGGCGAGGGAGGCGGTGGCGCGGGCGGGCCGGCCTGGCTCGGCTGGGCTTCGGCCCAGTCGGGCGCGGGGAGTTTTTTTTTAAACAATTTCACCAGCAGAAATAAAATCCTAGAAAATAAAATAAAAATCTAAAAATGTCAAAACAAATTTTCACCGTCTAAATAAAATATTTAGAACGAGATGAACATTTTCTTGGCCCTAAAATGAAATTTTAAAAACGTGCAATTTTTCTAATGCAAATAAAATCCAAATAAAATAAATAAATGATTTTAATATTTTTCCTCCAATGTTTCAATTATTTTGGAGAAGTCATATTATCTCCTCTCTTATATTTTAATACGAAATATTTTTCGGAGAGAAAAATAATTAAAATAAAAAATCCTCGTTTCATTATTTGATAAAAATCAAATACGAAAACCGGAAAATCCCCAACTCTCTCCGAGGGTCCTTGAGTTGCTTAGGATTTTGAGGATTGCGAAACGAAAATGCAATAAAATATGATATGCATGGATGACCTATGTATAACATTCCAAATTGAAAATTTGTGATGTTACAAACCTACCCTCCTTAAGATGAATCTCACCCTCGAGATTCGGGTTGGCTAGAAAATAGGTGTGGGTGGTCTCTGAGTAGATCATCCTCTCGTTCCCAGGTGGCTTCATCCTCGGTATGGTGGCTCCACAGAACTTTGTAAAACTTGATAACCTTGCTGTGGGTGACTCGGCTGGCAAACTCAAGAATCTTAACTGGCTTCTCCTCATAAGTCAAATCACTGTCCAACTGAATCGCCTCTAATGGTACTGTATCTCTTAACGGTATATCGGCCATCTCAGCATGACACTTCTTCAACTGGGAAACGTGAAACACATCGTGAACTCCTGACAATCCCTCGGGTAATTCCAACTTGTAGGCAACTTCTCCCATCCGTTCCAAAACACAATACAATCCTACAAATCTTGGGGCTAACTTTCCCTTAACTCCAAAACGTTTCACTCCTCGCAAGGGTGATACTCGCAGATATGCTCTTTCTCCAATTTCATAGGTTACCTCCTTGCGTTTTGAATCTGCGTAACTCTTCTGCCTGGACTGAGCAATCTTCAGTCTATCACGAATCAGTTTAACCTTCTCCTCAGACTCCTTGATCAAGTCTGGTACAAACAACTGCCAGTCTCCTACCTCATCCCACATCAACGGCGTTCTGCACCTGCATCCATACAGGGCTTCAAACGGTGCCATCTTCAAACTGGCTTGGTAGCTATTGTTGTACGAGAACTCTGCGTAAGGCAAATTGTCATCCCAGCTAGATCCATAATCTAGTGCACAGGCTCTCAACATATCTTCCAAAATCTGATTGACTCTCTCAGTCTGTCCATCCGTCTGCGGGTGAAACGTTGTGCTGAACTCCAATCTTGTTCCCAAA